ATATGGGATATACATAGGCTTTCCAATTTCAAGTAAAAGACAATAGGAAAAAGGGGATACATATAGATGCATATATAATTCAAATCCTCAACATTTTTTCACAAACAGTGTATGTAATATACAAACATATATATGAATTGAAGAAAGACTTCTGAAGGCACAAAGTTGATATTTTTGGTTTTATTACAGGCGTTTCGCCGGTTAAGGCTTCATCAGTGTATAATAAYATTACAGTACGAAATCGTGTATAGATTAAAACTGGAAACAATAGCCTAAATATATATATACCGAATCCCGAAAACTTTGACATGTTCGGGATATTTATACACATATGAGAAGGATAATGATTTCTCAACAAAAGAATGTTGCAAAATAGTTATAGAATAAGTAATAAAACTTATTAGCATGTTTGCAGATAAATTGCTCCTTGTTTACGTCTCTTTATTTTTAACCAAAACTAGTTAACGATCGATCATATGTTTATACATATCGCTAAATTGTCAAAGTTTTAGTGACTCGGTATATACAAATATACACTTAATTGAAGAATCGTTGTCGGGTTCAGAAACATAGAACATAGAAGCTGAGACTGAAATGGCACATGGGAAGTACGTTAATTAGATGCATGCTGTGACCGGCGACCCGTGGCATCATCCACTGTTTTTAATACGCTTTTGGCATTCTAAACCGACTGCATGGATGGCGCAAATGAATAAATCATGATATAATTATGTCATTTCCCATGTGCCATTTCGGTTTCAGCTTTTATGTTCTATGTTTCTGAACCTGTCAACGATTCTTCAATTGAGTGTATACATAGTTTATTCATGTGTTTAATTTTGCTTTAAGGAAAATTTGATAAAGGTATACTTTTAGGTATACAATTTAGTAAGAAAACTAGTTGTAAAAGACAACGTTTCGTTGTCATCTCGACAACATCATCAGGTCTAATGAAAACTGTAAACTCTACTATATGTAAATGTAGCTAAAGGAAGTGTGAAAGTTCAACGAATAACAATGAAATAGAATAAATCAAGTGGAAAAAAGACAATAAAAGCGCATAACGATGAAAATCAAGTGAGAAAACGACAAAAGAAAAAAAGGAAAAATAAAAAAAAAGGAAAAAAGAAAAATTATAAATGAAAACTTTCGCTCTAATAGAGTCTAATTGTTTGTTAAGTTCTGCTTTAAGGTCTTTGATATATAGCATTTAGTAGATCAAGCAATCAAGTTTTCCTCTGCATTTCTTCAGAACCACAAAAGTTGCTGTCAATATTATTTGAACGTTGATCATCTTGGTGCATGTTCTTCAGATGTTTAGCTATGGACGAACTTGATATCCGGTGCTCTTGGATGTGTTGTGATAGGTGTCGGGTTAGGTAGGTAGGTAGGTAGGTAACACTTTATTTAAACACGCTTGCCCCGTCAACTAAAGCTGATTTCCACAAGGGGCGCGTGGATAAATATAACAATGAAAAGCTAATACTAACCCACATACCCTGTTTCACACAGTGGACRTTCAAATTTATACACAACGCACTGTTGGTTTACCATCTTCGTCTTAGGTTCACAAAAACGAAGTTCATCCATGATTTTGTGGCTCTTAAACGCAGGCTGGATGTTTATATCGATCTTTTTACTAAGCGCTTCAAGTTGTTTTCTTCAGTACTACATCAGCAGATTTTTGGTCTCTGTAAGGTCGACTCTTGTCTTTTGAAACGTTGTCTTCTAAAACTAGTTTTCTTACTAAATTAAAGGAAAATGTCGACATAAAAAATCTTTATCTTTGTAATCATAACGTTTTTTTAACGACTTAAATTTCGTCCTAACAAAGATTATTTTCAATCATCACACAAGCTTAATTTTTCCTTCATGGACCAGAGGAGAACAGATCAGGACCAAGGAGAAACGGCTTTAAAAAGGCAAAAAAGAAAAAAAAAAAAAAAAAAAAAAAAAAAAAAAAAAAAAAAACGAAGGAAGGAAAAGCCGGCAAACAGATGAAAAAGGGAGAAATTAATTATTACTGATTCAATGTAATTAATAGTTTGTTATGTTTTTTGCTTGTTTGCGGTGGAGGGAYGGAAGAAATATTTAAGGAGGAAGGAGAAAAGAGACAAAACAGTAATAAGAATATGTCATTCAATAATCTTTCAATATCTCAGCAAGACAAATTCAAAACATTTTGTTGTTAGATCACGAGGATAAAGGCCGAAGCCGAGGAATACTAAAAGTT